CGGCATGTGCAAACAGACGTTCCCTGGTCACGAGTCTGATATCAACGCTGTGGCGTTCTTCCCGAACGGCTACGCGTTCGCTACCGGCTCTGACGATGCCACCTGTCGCATGTTCGACATTCGTGCCGACCAAGAGCTGGCCATGTACTCACACGACAACATCATCTGTGGCATCACTTCGGTCGCCTTCAGCAAATCTGGTCGACTGCTGTTCGCTGGTTACGACGACTTCAATTGCAACGTATGGGACAGTATGCAGCAAGAGAGGTCCGGCGTGTTAGCCGGTCACGACAACCGGGTCAGTTGTCTAGGCGTTACCGAGGATGGTATGGCGGTTTGCACTGGCTCGTGGGACAGCTTCCTGAAGATATGGAATTAATTGCACTCAGATGCGTACGCCACCGCCGCCACCTGCCCGCCCGCCGTTATCGTATAGGAACTCAAATCCTCCATATTCATCATATTTTGCTCTACTCTATTTAAGGCGACTGACTTCATCGTTGCAGTGAATGGACGTCGCCGCGACCACCATCACCACCAATATATACAGCTAAGATATTTTGCATGAACGACAACCGCTGCAAATGCAAGCGTGTTCATTGGTCGCCTTTTTCTCTCTCTATACAAACACATGCATGCGAGTTAAGCTCTGCCTGCTGTGCTACTGTTACTGGTTAACGAACAGCCACCGGTATATTGTGGTATATTGATCGTGTCGTCCGTGCGTTCGTTCTTCCTCCGTCGGTTGGTCGCGTCGCTGTCAACGAGATTATAAAACTGAAGTTAATCCTGTCTGATGTGTTCTGCTTGTATGTGACTGGGTGGCTCTCAGTGAACCGAACTTTCTTTCTCTCGCTCATTCGCAAGAGCCAGCAGTGCCGATCTGTGCTCGTTCGCTCGCTACTGTGGTATTATATAAGTATTTAAGACTTAAGTCGTGTGTGTTAGCCAGTCATTTGTTGAAATTTCGCCGACTCTTGTATGCATACCGCCGTACCGTTTCACGTTATACTTTACTGCCTAGTAACTAACGTCGCCTTCATCTTATTGCGCGATAGGGAATGATCGTTTTATGATATTTACGTACATATTTATATATATGTGTGTTCAAGTCGTTTCTCTTTTATTTATACGTAATATAAAGCCTACTTCTTTTGCTTGCATCCTTCCCACTTATTCACGTTCAGTGTTGGATATTTATATGAGTGACTATTGACGTCATTCATGAGATCTTGTGTCTAGTCATTTTTCTTGCTGTCTAAATTGTAGTTTGAGAGAAATTTGTCCTCTTCCGCAACTTGTCATCGTTTTTTACGCAGTGTTGTTTAAGCGTGAACTGAACGTTTTACTCTCCTATAAAGATTCAGAATACGTGCTCAAAATTCACCGACGATTTTTAGTTGAAACCTTCATTCGTGGTGGGTTCGTAGAGGTCCTCAACTAGTGTCCTACGTTCGGAAGTGAAACGAAAGCGAATACCAACTAGATGTCTGTCCTTGTCTTGCTTCGACTTTTACTTACCAAGCCAAGCTTCTTATTTTGCACCGCATCCGACTACTCATTAGTTGATGACTAATGCCATCGCGTCGCGTAATTACGTAATTTCTGCACTAGGTTTATTCTGAGGTGATTTGCACTGTTTTGCCTGCGTTGAAGAGCCCAATAACGATTATTTTTAGACATCGCTGTCTCTGTTTTCTCCATGTTTTTTGATCACCTCGATCGATTCAAAAGTTTCAGTAGTGTTTCTTTTCGGTGAATACCCCATATTTCACTTGTTGAATTTCAACATTTTTCTAGAAGGATTATATGAATAAGCTTTTGTGAATTCATGGGCAAATGTTTATCATTTCCTACTACCTGTAAGTGTAGTTGCGCGACGATATGAAAGTAGGTCGTTTCAGTGATGCTTGGTTTTCAAGTTGATGCTATATAATTGTTTGTATTTCATATTTACCATGGCGTCATTGTTTATAGCTTTATTCTTGTCTGTTGTTGTAGCGAATGTGCTCGTTATTTACCTGTACTACTTAGCTAAGTAAAATAAAGATGGAAACGGAAAGCCCTTTGTAGACTGTGGTGCTAGGCGTTGATTGCACTTTTGTTTTTTCATGGGAATGTGCCTATGATCGATAGCCAGTACGTAGATATGGTGCAAGCTAACAAGTGCAGTCTGTTGTATTGAATAATTCCAGTTATGCGATTTTGATTTTAGGTTTTCTGTCATTAGTTCCGTATTTGCAAGCGCACATTTATGGTACTCTTATAGACAGATCGTTCGGCACCTTATTTTCGCTTTTGTATCCTGGATAATTATAGACACAAGGTGTGATGTTCACATTATACAGATAATTGATCTGCAACATCACCATCCATGGTTGAATGCCATTACGCCGGTAAATTTCCGCTTCTGGAGATAGCAGCATTGTTCCTTTACGTAACTGATGGTTCGGGTTAAGTCAAGTACCTTCTTACTTTCGGTCGTTGCTTCTGGTTTGCTGACAGGAATGTGAGGATGTTTCTGATTTCGCTGAGAATGTTAACATGCGTTAAGAGCGTATTGTTAGCAAGAAAATTTGATAATCTCTCCACAAGGCAGTACAGTCGTACATCGTTAATTGATTCTCTTCGTGGGGTTACTCTAGATTGTCCGCAGCAAGCGCCTGTTGAACGAAGCTGTCTCTAACTCTTGTAGAATATTTGTCGTTTCTGATGCCTACCTTTCGCAGCGTACAGGTCTCAGCTATACATGATACCAGAAAATGTGACTTGTGAGGTTTACCTACTCTAAAAATTCTGTTTTTATTCAATTCCATCCTCTGATGGTCTGCTTAAGACTGGTCTAATTACCATTAAGCAGGTTTGCCTAAGTGATGGTCTTAAAGAAATTGATCCAAAGGAATGCAAGTTATGCCGGAAACATCTGACCAACAGGGCCAAAAATATAACGTAACGGACTGAATTGGCTGTGATTGGACTGACTTGTTACCATTGTTTTGTTGTCGGGAACAGTGAACAACAGCAGTAGTATTCGAGACGTTCAGTTGGTGGTGCGTACAGCAATGGGCATTTCTTCTTATATCTCAGACAGCAAGTAATTATACTAAAGAATAGGTTTGCAATTTAGTCGACCAGCCGGAGGAAGGCACTCGTTTAAGTTCCGTCTGACCCCTGCTAAGGTGAAGGTTTCGTATGTGCCTTGCAGGAAAACAGTGAAGCCAGTCATCGATTTTCTGTAATAACTAGATTCATCAGCGGAAATCATCAGCAAAATGCGACATGAATAATAATATACCGGTAATAGTGATAAATCACGAGAATGCTGGAACATGTTACTTGAGAAACATTCACGTACTAATAATTACAAAGCCTAACATTTTAATCGATTGACTTTGTGATTGAAGTATTCTTGCTTTAAAACATGAGGCGACAGACCCTCAGATAAGCTGAAGTAGACCCGAGTATCTGTGAATCAAAAGTGTATGTAGCAAAATTAATTGTTGTTCAACCTTATCAAAGATATATGCACTTCGTATAACTTATTAACCCTGAACCTCCGTTCGTGTTGTAAACTGTAAACTAGGACAGCTCAATAAACTAGTTAGTCACATTCATAATTGAGCACTCGGCGAGTTTAGGTGGTGCACTACGTATGTACAAACTATTGCTTCCTTTGTTTCTTGGTTTCGGCTTGTTGCTTTCACTTTTGAACAGTGTATATGCTTATTTTAGTCGCTTAATGTTTAATTTTTTATGAACTATTTTATCTCAAATTAATTTTGTACTTCTGTTGAATATGTTAACTCTTTCGTGAAAAATACCTAGGAACAGCAGGCAGTGCAGAACAGTGTAATGCCATAAAGCTTCTGCAACGTTTTATAATTTTCTGATAGTTGAGGTTATACCATGAATTGGTAGATTCTAGTACAGCGTGTTATTCGATTGTATTATTTCCTTGCCCTCCAAATTCTGAACGTGCCTGAAATACGGCTTTTCGAACCCCTGTTACCAGCCTCTATAAATCTATAAAATAAGGTTCTTTAAAACAAGGAATTTATGACTGCATTGATTGTTGAAATTTGTCTGACTTGCAAATATATGATTTTGTCCACGTGTTTGTGTGTGTGCATGTACCATGCTTCGTCGAAGGAAGATAATGAGAACCAAACCTTAATCTACTGGTCTTAATCACTTGATCGGTAGATATTTAATGATTTACATGTTGTG